CATACTGACTTACTGTACATGTATTATGCATAATGTACATCCGCGGAACGGTGACGCTGTGGGGGTGTGACCAATCAGTAGGCAGCATTCAGGACACGTGCACCGGCCGGCCAAGCGCCGGTACGGTTATCGCAACGTCACGGAAATACATAACAGCAGTACATGTACATGTATAAGTAGGCCCATTCAGTATGTGTTCAGTTAGGCAGAATGGAGTAGAGCGACGAAGTTGAGTCTCATCTTCAGACTTTCGGCGTAATTTAAGCATGGATTTAGCATTTTCTGGATGCGGTTTCCTAGGCATCTATCATATTGGTGTGGCCAGTTGTTTCAAAGAACATGCACCAAATCTGATTCGAAATATCAGTGGTGCTTCGGCCGGCGCGTTAGTGGCTTGTTGTATTGTAGCAGATATCGACTTTGGTAAGTACACTGTACATACCGTTCAGACGGTCAGCTAGTGGTCAGTGGCATGGCAGTATGTTTGCAGTTTCCTTTTTTATGCACAAGACAAAGGGTTTTTATAGGTATGAGCTCTGTTAAACAACTAGGAGTTCCCAAGACTGCATACCAATCATTGCCAGCTACATAGCAGGTCTGGAACCTAGCAGCCAACTTTGACGATGTTGATAAAAATGGTCCTTGCACTGCCCATGGTCTGCCTATGCTGACTCGGCAAAGTTGACTATCTGCAAGTGCAAGTCCGTGTCGTTGTATTACCTATTCATATTCCTGGCTTCTGCATTCTGTGGCACCCGAAATAAGTTATCAGTCTCGGCAGAATTTTTTTTAAACTGATGTAACATCGAATTTGACAGAAGTAAGATTTGGACGCGTAAATTCAACCGTGGGAATTCTTGGATAAAATGTAAACAAACGCGGGCATCCATGGAGTTGTTGGAACTGTGCCAGCGCATATCGCGTGACATTGCATTCGGGCGTCATCGTTGCAGTGCATACATTATACAGAACCGTCTCCCATTGGTCCTTGAATATGAGTCGGAAAGGTACGTTTGCGTTTGACCAATCGCAATTGAGAATTCCACCCCGCCCCTCGAGTGTTATTGGGGAAACTGTACCAGGCATGGCACGTGTACTTCGGACTCTAATTACAACCGTAGTATTTTGTCTTCACATAGGCTAGACCTGGAGGGTAAAAACAACCCCAGGTCGGTGGTCTTCCTGAAATAACTTGAAATTAAAACATGACTGCCTCTCATTTCTCTTGTGAAATAAGACAAATTGAACGTGTGGACATCATGAAAAGAAATGCTAGGCCTACTTAAATATGAAATTTAGCCTCAAAGTGGTTGCTAAAATGGTATATTATTTCCATTTCCAATCGATCACTTGGTCTTTTTCCCACTAAATTTCTCAATTTTAGAAGTTTTCCCAGAACAGCGAGACACTGCATAAGACAGGCCATAATCTCCATTACACAATACAATCAGTTCTGCGTAGCAAGATTTTTTGTTTGACTTTCAGGAGTTATAATTGACACTTCTTTGCAGCGCGATCATGTTTTACATGCACAAAACGATCCAGCCACGTACCGTGTACAGTACCCTGCGGCAGCGTTTTAGCTAGCGAGCCATGCAGCTGTGTTTTGCACGGCAAGCTTTGTGAAATTGCAGCCCATTTTTTCAAGCATGGCCTGACGGTGCCAATCAAGCCATGCACTTAATTTGAGGCTTGTGTTATCTAGATCCTGAAAAATGTGCAAATAAAATTTGAGCTACATTTGAGTTTTTCCCATGCTTTTCCCCCATCAACCAAGTCCAAAATAGAAAATATGCTGCAGCAAAGTACATGGTTCGAACGTATCAATGCCAGCAGGCGGGTTCCTTTCCTTACAAATGATGAACTTCAGTACCGTATCTATGAACTTGTAAACAAGTGAATACAGGGATCCATACTTGTTCACCAGTGATCGATCGTACATGTATGTAATCGGCCTCATTCCCATGGCAATCATTAGCTGCCATATTGCGCCCACTCTCGCATGAGTTACATGTAGTCCATGGGGACGAGGTTGACATAATCATTTCAAGGGTTGCGCTGCATGCTCATTGTATCATCCAGAATGAAACAAAAAATAATGGATTTTTTCTCAAAGGCAAGGGCTTGCTTACATGTGATCTTTGTTTCATTTCAAAACACGCCCTCTTTTGTTCCTGCTTGGAGCAGATTGAAATGTAAATGAATGGTACATGTAAATTTAGTGTGGTAACATCATGTTAGTTTTGTTTCTGCAGGTAAGGCGACCGATAATGTGCTGAGGTTGGTTCAGAAAGCTAGATCTCGTCTACTTGGTCCATTCCATCCATTCTTTGATCTCCATGGCTACATGAATGAGCGTATGCACAAAGTTCTTCCAGATGACATCCACAAACTGGCATCTGGCAGATTACATGTGTCACTCACCAGGGTATGGGACAAGACCAATGTCATTGTATCAGACTTCAAATCGAAGGAAGAAGTCATTGAGGTATGTTTACAACTGTCATGTCCTACCGGTACATTGGAGCACTGCTATTATTTACACAACGGAGTCTACACCAAATATTCTGTGTAGCGCTTGTTCGGTGTAGCGATTTTCAGTCATAAATGCACACTTGCGAAGTCCGACCCATATTCAATGTGTGCAGCTCCAATCCGCATGTCTCGGTGTTTGATTTTGGACAGTTACATGTACATGCAAAAAAAATAAACTTTAAACTAGAAAACATTGAAATTCCTGGATTTTTTTAAACTTATGTTCATCTCCTTTCATGTTTCACCCTTCGGGGTTGTCCTCACTGGAAGTAGCATTGCAAAATGAAATCAAGTTTTCCTCGAGTTATCACTCAGTTACATGCGGCATGTACATGTAGCACGCTGTTACACTAGTGGTTTCTGTTGGTGAAATGGCACTAAGTAAATGGGCCATGCCAGAAACCATTCATGTACATGTACAGTAGAGGTGCATACCTGTACATGTACATATCCACGGTTGGCAACAAAATGCCAGGGAAGCATTTTGGAAAATGATTAAAACTGGCAAGATCTTTATGAAAGATTTGTGTAAATTAAATAACGAAATGTTTGAGTCAATCTACGTACATGTACCTATTTATTGTTTTGGTGATTTACGAGTTCAAATCTCTTAGCTTTACAGCAATTATCGTGCCAGGTTTTCCACACCTCTGTTGCTGGTATTGTACACTCTCAGCCGCTCTACATGTACATGTACATTTGTACGTGACCGCGTGTGGTCACATGAACATTACATGCAGTGTACGTGTACATGTACATATAGGCTACATGAATGATACATGGAGTTATTGTCATCAGTTTTAAATATATTTCTTTTATTTAAAAAGCAAATTTGTAACGTTTGGTGAAAGTACAAACAATATTTGGTAAAAGTGAAAATTTGGGAGCTTACAGAGATGTTTGGTATAGCCAGAATACATGTATTTGGTACCGGTACCTGTGTATAGCAATGTTCATTGTTACGGTGTTCCACAGTAATGTATGTTCATGTAACTTCAGCAAATGTAAATGATACGAGATGTGTGATTTTCTGTATTGATAATTTTGTGAAGGTTTTGAAGTTTGAGCAATTAAAACTGTCATCAGGGTTACATAAATTTGTGATTCTAACCCATCTTACTGATGTTTCATGAACAATTTAACCACCATCATGTTTAAAGGAACAAAGGATGGAGTGGCCTCATACAGAATCAAAATGTAGGTACACATACATGTACAATGTACATGTACATGTACATGAAGAGTTTACTTGAACTGCAAAATGTCCCAGCTAGCATAACACATTCACCTGCTGTACATGTACAGGTACATGTACATGTACTGAAGCCGTTACATCATGTACATATGCATGGTTACTCCAGGTGTTAAGTCACATGTCTGAACACGTGCCCAGATGTGTCTGAAGGTCAGCGTAAGGACTTCAATACACATGCTATACTTCAGCTTAATGCAAGTTATATAATATTGTACATGTATAAATCTTGTCCATTGATAAGCAAAGCTGTGGGTAGACCATTGTTAGACCAAAGATAAAATCTCCAGCATAAGGCAGTGCGTCAAAAGGTCAAAGAAAAGTTTCATGAAATGGAATCGTGAATTTCCCGAAATTTGATTGGTATTTCCCAAAATTTTCAAAAGTGCTTCCTGCATGACTGTGTCGTGTTTTCTCACGAGCTAGTATATATATTTTTAACCCTAACAGTCCTCAGTCCTCCAACAGGTGAAGGATTTAGGACTGTTAGGGTTAATGAAAACGAACTTAAAACCACGGTACCAACCTAACTGCAGACTAAAGGGCTAGTCTAATTGACGCACGCATCCCATGCTTTTGCCGTGACACCTCAGTACCACAGTAGCACCATTGAACACTGTTATATAGCACTTAAAATTCGCCTTAGAGAAAAAGAAAGGGAATCTCTAATTTCAATTTTAAAAATTATTCCTTCATTTTCTGAATTTTCCGAAATTATTCTCTTTCCCGAAAGTTACCCAAAGAACACCCAAATTTCACAAATTTCGGTAATTTTCGGGTAGAGTGGAAACACTGGCATGGGGGCTGTAGAATTGATAATTCAATTTGATTTAGAGGTTAGGCCATGGTGGTTTGACCAAAAAACAAAATGCATTTGCTGTACTTGGAACATGGATAACTTGATGCTTGGGGTCAGAAAATTACATGTGCCAGGAAGGGAAGAATTGACTAGATTCCCAATGCCACTATTTTTAGTACATGCACTCTGCCTGTGTTACAGCATGGAAGTAGGAACTGCAGTTCCCAAAATGTCTATCAACGACGAAAAGTACTAATTAAGCAAACTCTTCCCATGAAAATAACTCAATCTTTCATGACAACAATATCATGATTATCATGATTCCTTTAACAGATTGGTAACACAAGTTGTCAAGACATATATTGCTGTGATTGAGAGACATATTGACAATTTCTATCCCAGTTCCTTTCATGGCACCCATTTCCACCATCTTACACCTGCAGAGCTCAAGTTATGGAGCAAGCCCTGATGAGTTTCTAAAGTTCTTTTTGTTCTGATGGGATCAATGGGGTTACTTAAATGAATCAGTATCATTCAATTCAATATTTTTTCAAAGCTAATAAAATTTTGCAGATTTGCATTTCAGAAAAATAGGGTCAGACAGAACCTGTCCTGATCACCAAGTGTTTTTTATAAGGCCTTATCTAACTGAAGTACTGTGTACTTGTATGTGTGTAGTCACACTAGATACATTTACATACAGATGTACATGCACAGTGTAGTGTTTGGGATTAGGGGTAATGGACAACATGTTCTACATTGAGAAAACTCATGGAAGGATTGTTAAGGTTGTGTGCAAAGGGCTCTGTATGTTACCTGATTTTGCATGGTTGAGCTATTTCCCAATGAACCAAATCTCCTCAGATTATACCTACATATACGTGTGCATGTACATGTAGATAGCTACGCAGCACCATGCCTAATACATGTAGTTGCCAAATATTGAGTGGATATTGACAGACGACTGTTAACTTCAGTGTACATTTATACAGCCAGAAAAAACCCACAATACATGTACATGGCTATGAGTAATGCACATTCCTCTTACACTGATCCAGTCATTAAATTACGGTAGGCCAGAAGATACCATAGTAATCTACATGTAGCAAGGCTACATGTACCTGCAGACACAACTGAATATAAATTTTTTTGTTGTCAATTTCAGTTGAATGACTTTCAATTCAGGATTAAAAAAACCCAAACCAACAAAAACAGATCAATGGGTGTATGTTTATTTTTCATTTGCTTTGCAGGCAGTTTTATGCAGTGCCTTTGTGCCATGCTACTCGGGATTAATCCCGCCTACATTCAGAGGAACAGTAAGTGTTGCTTTTGCCAAAGGTTTGTCTTATGGAACTACCTGAAGTGGAAACTCCTGATGATTGATTCCTTTAAGTTGATCCACAGTTAATTACAATGTGGATATATTTAGGTAGAATCTTGATTAATTTCAGTGCACAAAACTCCATGTACACCTTTATCTTAGATATTCCAGTGCATGAGCATTGATCTGTTTCAGTTCATTCATTGTATGAATGACTTTCAGTTCAGGTTTAAAAATTCAAGAAAAGAGTTTTTTCCCTATGTTGACTCTGCATTAGCCGTGTTCCCATTAGACCTTTTCTTCCGTGGGCATGCAGAAACATACATGTACTATGTCATTTCTTCGTGTCAATCTACATGTACGTGTACCATACATTCCCACGTGGACATTTGTTTAACCGTAACGGAACGTTTATTCGCTGTGACTGGGAACCATACAACCATTTTCGCGTGCCCACTATCAATCTCTACAGAGGCAGTAGTCTGGTTCTTAGGTTTAGCATGGTTGCAGTCAGTTGGACTTTTTTGCACGCCTGCTAACTTACCGTAGCTGCCTGGAAATCTTCCACGACCCTTTTCAGCCTGTTAGTTTTATATCGCAATCGCGGTAAGTTGACAGGGACGTTAGTTTACCGTGTGTTCCCATTAGATTTAAGTTTGTAATTCTACATGAAAGTCGCGATAAGTTAACATGGTTAACCCAAAAAAGGCCATTGGAAACACGGCTATTGACATATTTATTACTTATCTTTCTTTTGTCTTTGTTTTGTCTACAGAGATACTGGGATGGTGGCATCTCCAACAATTGTCCTGTCTTGAGTCCAGACACTGTCACAATCTGTCCCTTCTCAGGGGACTTTGATATATGTCCATCCTCTCAGGAGTTTGGTGATTACCTTCAGTTTACCTCAGCAAACATCAATATTCATTTGACTTCTACTAATTTCTGGCGTTTGTCAAGAGCTTTGTATCCACCAGAACCAGAGAAGCTCAGGAAGTTATGTCAGCAAGGATATGATGATACACTACGTTACCTACAATCACATGGTTAGTAATGGTTGGCTGGTAAACAGCAGAGGTAGACATGTCCAAGTCTCCATCTGACAATGGGTGAACTCCTGCTACATGTATGCATTAATCTTTTCACTTTTAGAATGCTATGTTATCATGATTTTTTGACCAACTCTGTTTAAGGGATCTGTCTGTGATAACAAATTCTACAAAAAGTTGAACCGTGAAAAAGACTTCCTGCAATGTCTGTTTTATGGTCTGAAAACATTACTTTCATTGATTGTTATATTCATGCGCAACATATGAAGAAAGATTGGCACACCTACAGTACATGTACGTGTATGGGTCCTTCCATCAAAAATCATTCCAAAAAAATGCAGAATTGGTTTAAAATTTGCTACTGATTTTGATGATTTCTTGACAGCTGTAGTTCCATGCAATCGGCATCTAAGTTTAAGCAGATCGCAATCCTCCAGTGGTTTGAGCAGTGAACGTCGCCGGCTATCAGATGCTCAGATGTCACTTCGAAGTACTCTGTTATCCCGATCCTCTCTACAGTCACTCAGCACTGACTTACAACTTCTACAAGACATTCTGGAAGCAAGTGATAATGAAACGTGGGAAGAGTGGAATGATGAAGACTTCTTTGAAGATGAGGATGAGTGTGAAGATTGTAAAATCAGAGCAGAACAAACTATGTTAAAAGGAAGTCTACCACCCCAGGTCACAAATGGTAGGTCATTGATCCACAAAGTGTTTTGTAAGGTACACAATGTCTACATGCCACTTTGCAGTGTAGTCTTAACCGACAAATTGCTCTCGGATGGTTTGGAACCAGTGTTTTGCAAATGCTACCAGGACATGCAATTAACCACTTGTTGCCAGGGTTTCTGGTTCCGGACACGTATTCTTTATACGCGTGGCTAGGGTCTCCGAACTCGGACAATGGGAACTGGGCCTTGTAAAAAAAGACCCTATTCGTAACAAAAGACCAGGCTGCTGGGCATTAACAACTTTTTTTTACTCTCAATAGTGGAGAAAATCCAGCCTTGTTTTGAAACAGTATACCATGGTTTGGGGCATTTAGTGCGAGCGGATTGCCACCGGGGACAAAAGCGCTCCACCACAGCGATGAGCCACACAGCACCGCTGCACGCTAGTCTGGCCCCTATTGAAAAGAGGTCAGCAGTGCACTGTGCCAGGTTCGTGAACAAAAGAAAATTACATAACACAGCACAACCTTGGCTCTTTTTACAAAGCTGCAGGCCTGGCTGAAATACTTGGGTGTCAATAGATTTTGTCTGTCTGATTAGAGTAGCTATCAGACAGTCGTGTGGGTGTAAACGTCCATTAATTGAAGTGATGAATTTTTGAAGAATTTTGAAAACTGAAACTCTTGAAAATATCCCATACATGTATGTGTGCACTGCATTTTTTCAGCAACCCAGCAGCAAGTGGTTAAATGAGGAAGGGACACATTTTCAGCAACTTTTGATCCTTGTCGGTCATATTGAATCCTTATCCTGATCAGAAGACCTTTTCATGAACACAATTTTGTCTTCCATATTTCAAATTTGATAAAAATCATCTATTGAGCATCTTTGGTTTGATACAATGTACGTTGTCGCTTTATGAGCACACCTACATGTAGCTTTATAGGCACTTGAAGAGTGATTTCATAGCGCATGATTGTTTGCCACGTGTGTTGCTTTTACAGTTCTTGTCTTGTCACTTCTTTTTTTTTGTGATCTCTCTTCATTGAACTGAAGGCATTTCTGTAGCCTGGGTGACGTGAGTGATGTTTTAAAAATGCATTATTAACCATGCTAAACTGTTGCCTGTCTTGCAGCTATTAGAGAGGCCATCATGCTGGACAACACTCTGCTGAATTATTTATTCAAATTCAAGATGTTCAAGGCAGTATCATTCATGGCGCTTCCATATGTCATCACATTTGAGACAGTGGTACTCTTCACAGTCAGGTCAGTGCTATTTGAACGTCTTAAGTTATTAATCCTGTCAATCATAAAACCAACTGATTCCAGTTCTAAACGTACTTAGAGCAGCAGTTGTACATTCATGGCCTCTTTGTAGACTCCTTACAAGCAGTTTGCACTGGTTTTGGCATGGCATAGAGAAGCTTTGTAATTAATATTCTCCATTCAATGAATGTGCACACTCATTATTGCTTTTTTGCCATTTTTAATTCAATTGCAACATAAAACATTTCTGATTTGCATGCGTGTGTATTAAAGTTGCAGGGAACAATGTGGCTAACTTGCAATGCAGAGTTGGACATGCTTAGATATTCTTCGTGCCTAGCTCATAAAGGGACTTGGCACAGCAAACACTGAGTGTATGTTTGCTTCTGCATGTCAACTGAATTCAAGTCCTCTTCCTGTTCAGGTTTGCCAAAATGCTACCCAGAGTTCATCGTGATGTTCATCGGATTTGGAAGCAACTGATGGGTCTGATTAGACACATGCTGGAACACACTCCTGCTGCCAGTCTACTAGAAAGGTCAGTTACTTTATTTCTCAGCTCATTTATACTGATACGGTAAATCCAGTTATCATTTCTACAATAATTTAAAAAAAATTAAATTGAATAAACTCAGATTTATATTCACTTTATAAACTTGCTGAGATGAAATGCTGTTCCTGTAAAAATGTTAATGGTCAAGTTTTCAAAGTCCTTGTGGAAATTCACGAATCAATCTAATTTGTACATGTATGAAATCTGTTGAGTTTGTGTATGGTTTGAGAGAGAGATAAAATTTGCTATCATTGATAGAGACTGACAAGGCTAACTACAGCAAGCTACATGTAGAAGACAAATTAATGAGCCTTAATAGCTTGAAGACACAGGCATCACCTTCCCATTGAGTGCCCATGGCAACGCTGAAATGGATCAGAAAATCCATCCCGAGAATATACGTGTATACACACTCATGCAGTCAAAAACCAATAATGAGAACACTGTACATGTAAAGACAGCATCCCGTTTTTCCAAGGAACTTTTTTATATCCCTTGCAGTTTTTGTCTTCTTTTTCTGATAATACAATGTTTCTCTTAGGACGACATTTGACAAAGGTTCCAAGGACTTTGCAAATTTCAAATTCATGAGTAAATTAAATTCCAATGCACACCACCAACAGTGGTGGAACGATTTTCAAAGTGAGGGGCTCTTTTGTGAGACCATCAAGCATCAGCCATTAATAGGCCGATCCACTTTGCCTTGCACTATTATAGGATCTGTAAAAAAAAGGTGCAGGGGCCATTCTCCCCCCCCACCGCTTTGAAAAAGTGGGGGGAGGGGAAATTGGCCCCCATCCCCCTCCTGAATCCTTGATGGAATACATTTTGCACAACTAAGCACTAGATGATAATGTGATCTAAAAAAAAAAATTATTTGCATATAATTTTATGCTTGATGAAAACTTTCCAAGTGCTAGTCCATGTATATGTACTCTACATAGTTGAACTGCTGTTGATGACTGTTGGCCCGAGAACTTTCTTTTCCTTCCTTGGCACTGTAGTGTTCTTTGTATCATTTTTGCTGCAGGCTCTCACCTGGAGATAGAGAAGAATTCCTAGCTTCCATTACCGATGAGAATTTGTCAGTTTCCTTCCATGAAGGCAAGACGATGAAGATGCACAATCACCGTGGTTGGCACAGACACCACCCACGTGTCAGAGGAACACTGCCGGACTGTGTCTTAGATACCTTTGATTTATGTGAAGATGTCTTCCCTGAATCAAGGTCAAGAAGTACATCACACCTCCAGGAAGGAGACAAGTATTGTGGGAACCTGTATGATAGCTTTGATCACACTATAAAAATAAGTTTTGAGATGGAAGATGTGATAGTGTTCCATTATCTCAAAGAATCTTGCCTTATTGATGTGTCTAGTCCTAAGAATTCAGAGATGGTTCTAGTTGATACATAACATTGCCTGTTGGGGTCATCATGCATTTACCTGTGCTGAACCTCTAATGAGGCTGATATTTGGAGCATTATATGCAGTCTACATTTGGTGCATCAGTTGTTTGTTTAACCCCAACAGTCTCAAATCCTCCGATTTCAATATGATTTTACATACACCCTAGGGGGTTAATAAATGTAATGACTCCATACAAAGCAGCTGCACTCCTTAAATTTCTAAATTTTAAGTCATCAGTTTTATCCCTGAAAAGTTGTGTTTTGGGTCATGTTTACTGCTCTATACAATGTGAATTGATTCTGTCTCGGAAATATTGATGTGGATTTTGAAAAAAACTCTTCTTGTGAAATTAACTTTCATAACTTGTTTCTGACACCTTGTATGACTTTGTAAATTGATGTACATGGTCATGCCTTGATAAATTGAGACAATGATGAATTAGGATGTTCAGCCATAGAGTGTGTTTAAGAATCATTGGTTGGCTCAGTAATTGCTGGGTTCCGTTTGTCATCACTGAAAGCACTGTCCTAAAATCATTTGCAAAACTGCAATTTTTTTATTGGTTTGTTTAGTAGCCTAATTGGGCAATGGTTTGATTATTCTGTCGGGTGCTGTGTGATCTTTTTGCCTGCTACTGCAATAGTGGATAAGAATGGGTGCATGTATGCTGAATCTTCCTATCCTAATTGATCCATAGAAACTGCCAATTGATATGAAAGTCCATTTATAAGGGTTAGGTGCAGTCGGGAACATCTACATATACAAACTGAAGCAACTGATATGGATCATGTAAACTGGGTTGGAAGAAGTGTGTGAACTTTTTGTACACATGTACAAACTGTACATGTAATTACGTCAATTGAACGTGACAATTTAAAATGCCATACTGGCAACACTGACATTGACCTAATAAGTAATATATTTCCTATATATTTTGGAGAACAGCAAATGCGAGGAAGGTTTATTGTGATGCTTCAGCCTATATTACATGTATGATACGCATGGTTGATGTAATCATTGAGAAGATTTAATGATGTACAGAGATCCTAATTATTTACAGTGATGCAGACTCAGTATTAAGATACTTGTAAAAGAAAATGAACATTTGTAAATAACTGCCTTTGCAACTGTAAATGGTAATAACCTATTTTTATGGCAATTTAACTTAAGTAGATAATCTTTTGGTGACACTGCAGAGTTTATGCTGCTATATATTTAAGGTTCTTCTCAATGCTGCCTTCAGCTGCTCACCTTTTATGTACCATCACCTGAAGTTTGTTCATGGGTTTAATTTTTGCATCAGGTATTAGGTTTTATCAACTGAAGTATGCCACTATTGTTCACCTATTCAGTTGTTGGACTTCAGCCATTTTATCATGCAATGTCAAACAAAAGTATTAAATTGTGTGCATTTGTACTGAGCATTCGCCTAAAGTGGTCGGTACTGGTTATGTAAGGTATACTTTTAGTTGTGTGTCCTATTGTAGAGTAAGGCGACCTACCTAAGATATGCTGCATCCGTATCCAGCACTGAAAACGGCAATAATAACAGGAAACTCGGCTCACATGATAATGATGCCCTGTTCATGTAACTTTGGTAAAAGCTGGTTGGATGGCTTGGCAAAAAAGCACATTGTCAAGAGATTCAATAACGTAACAAGAGTCAAGTTACTATTTGCATTTACGCTTTCAAATTTTCCTGTCACCTTCACTGTGCCTTGAAAATCTGGACTGTAAAATCAATGATTAAACAGAAGTTTATAAATTCAAGAGTGTTTAGGTGAATGAAAGTTCTTGTTTGACACCTGACAGGCACAAAAGGAGTTGGTTTTGTCAGCTTTTCTTATCATTTAATGCAGCCTTGCATAAATTCTTTACACAGTCCAAAATAGTTGAAGTACAGTAAATTAAAGGGTAACAGAAGTTGGAAGTATTTAGTTCACGTGAAGTTTTTCAAAATAACAATAAAAACATAACCATTTCAAAAACATTGTAAATTTAATGTTTACCCCATTAATTGTGACCCAAAAATTAATTAAAAGGTTCCTGCGTTTTTCCACCCATAAAAAATCCGCTTTTGGCCATTCACGCTCCCAGGCTGATTGGATGACGTCATCGCCAGAATGCTTCCAAGCAGTGTGTACAGTACATTGCGATTGAAAGTTAACACCAAAATGGGGAAATTTTTTTCACATTTTTTCTCTTCCCCGGGAATTCCTTTTCATTTCACAAATTGTGAAAAAGTGGGAAAATATTTTCACACCTTTTCACACAAGTGGGAAAATATCTTTACAGATTTTCCCCCCAAGTGGGAACAGATTTTCACACTTTCTCCCACAATGGGAAAAAATGTTCACAGACTTTCCCACAAGTGGGAAATGATTTCCACACAAGTGGGAAAAGATTTTCGCACTTTTTCTCACAAGGGGGAAAAGATTTTCACAGATTTTCTCTGGTAGTGGGAAAATAATTTTGCAAGCTTTCTTCATTTAGTAGTATTTGTGCATGTACATGTAGACATCAGGAAGTTTTTGTTCTCTGTGGTTTCAAACATTCGCATTTCTGAATATGGAAAGTGGAGGAAAATCAGTCTGAGAGAAATTCCCAGGAATAATCAGATTACTTGAGGAAGACGGCATTAAAATTTCAATGCAGTATGTTTCTCGGTTTTGAGCAAAGTACAGTGCGACAGAAGAAATCAAAACCTGGCTATGGTGGAGGTTGCAGGCAACCACTGAACACCGAACAGCTGAATTACACTAGATTGCCGCTATACCGCTCTCCAATATGTCTTATATTGTAAGTTGTAAGCGTTTAAAAATTAAATTCACCCACTTGAAAGGATGCTCAATATGTGCACATGTACATGAGCATGTATCTACGTGTTTTCCTGAATGTAAATTTACGTTTACACGTATTGGCAAATGTATGTACCGTGATTTCGGACATCCTGACTGCTACTGCATGCCCATTCATGGACAGTCCAATCGCTGACTTTTTCCAATAACCATGTGACCGCAGAAAGTAACATGTCATCAGAAGCCCAAGTGAAAACTGACCCGATATGTCACACCGAACACAATTAGCGAAAAGACGAGATTTGCTACACGAAAATACACGTACAATTTAAGCAGTTATTTTATTCGTCAATGGTAAGAAACCTTTCGGTAACAAAATACTGCATGTAGTATTTCATTGTTGATTTTTTGTGCCAAACTACAACACGAAAATAAATAAAAAGTGGGCAAATAACCCATGTCGCCACAGCCGAGCAAGTTAAGTTTATTGTAATAGGCCTACACATTTTATGTGCTTCGTGACTTCATAACTTGGGGACTCTCGTTTATAATAATCACTCAACATCCAAACAACTTTTTAAACATTTATTCTCCGACATTGACGAGTGTTTATCTATGGTAATCCTAGAAAACAACTGCGCCACGCAAGCGCGGGTCGCCGTAGTGAGCACATCCCCGCGATCGCGCTGCATGGACTGAACGGCTCGGCTGAGGAAATCGCTACTAGACTGTACTGTACTACAACAGCACACCCCACGTGGTGAGTTGGTCTTGAGTCAACTCGGATCCAAACCAACTGGGACCCATGCCAACTCGGACCCACGACCAACTCGGACCTATGTCAACTCGGTCCCAGTACTAACCCGGACCCACGACCAACTCGGACCCACGACTAACTCGGACCCACCCTGAGTCAACTCGGACCCAACCCCAGGAGCGTGATTAACTTTTTGGAAATTTTTATTTTGGCCACTTTTACATTTTAGCATTTGGTAAATGACACTTTTGCACTGCATGCTGCCAAGCTGTAACGTCCTCTCTACACGTTATGCAGGGAAACAGTGGCACAGGCTTCCCAGAACTTCTCCGTTTTCGAATTTGAACAGGCATGGTGGTCAAAAACCGTACAGGACTAGATTTGATGTCAGTGATGTCTTGGAACAAGTCACGGTGATGAGTAACCGACGAGCGTCGTATTTTTATGGAGGCACATTTCCTTTAATGTCTTATTTGCCG